ACAAAGCAGGGTAAATTTTCATATCACATTTTCATGTTCTCGTCCTGAATATTTGCAATTAATTTGCCACTGGACGTTAATCTTAGTGTTTTTTTCACCAGTCATGAAGTTAAATTACAGACACTTCCCTTCTACGTATACCAAAAATTCTTAGTTTTTTTCAAAAGGAAAACATTTCCCATAAACAATATATCGTAAATATTGTTTCGACCAAATGACATATAATTTGCAAAATAGAATGATAAGTTTCCACATTTTTTTGTCCAGCTTACTTCTCGGAGATGACTTGACAGACATTGATAAAACTGCACCATAATGTGCATCCCATAATGGAACCAACAAGATATTATTTACCGTATATAATTTTTCACACATAATTGCTTTCAATCAAAGATTATGAATATTTGTTTTGACCTTTGACTTTGGCTATTTTCACCCTGCAGTATCTTAACTCTTTATAATAAATAGCTGCGATGCTGGTTAATCAATCATACTTCTACGCTAATTAAAGGACGTAACTGTTGCCAACGTCTGCACATTCCTATCTTCATTAAGGAGAGTATATTCATTATATTTAAAAGAGATACTTTAACGGTCGTTTCAAGATTTTAATACATTTTGGCAGGTATAACATTCGTGAGATTTTACATTTTGTTGTATTTATGTAGTTTGTAGTTCACTTAGTTTTCTTTTTATGAAAAAAAGTAAATAATGGGAATAAGTTAAGTTATATTAGATTGATTGGTGTTTAACGCCATTTTCAACACTATTGTGCTATTTCGTGGCGGTCAGTTTTTATTGGTGAAGGAAGCTGGAGTGCCCGCAGAGAACCACCGACCTTCGTTAGAAAAACTGACAATCCTAGTCAATTAAGATTAGAGTCGAGTGCACCTGCCACGTGCAGGGTTCGAACTAACAACCTCGGCGTTGACTGGCTAGTGATACAGTAGTTCGACTACTAAGACCACTCGGCCACCGAGGCCCCAAGTTATATTAAAAAGTATTCGTCAAGTTTATGCTAATGCCTGAACAGAAATGTAGCTTAAACGCAAATGAAACTGCCATAAAATCGTTTTGCCGAGATACACATTTATTCTAGCATTCAATCCTATCCCATGTGGCACGAAAGAAGACATTTAATTCGCAAAAAGTCGAATTACAAAAAAATTACGCCGAATTTTATTGGTATCAAAACGACCAATACAGATCTACGTAAGGGAGCTACCATTTGATTTTTATGGGGGGGGGGGGGGGGGGGGGGGGGGGCTAGGATGAAATTTGAAAAAAATAGGCAGGACAGGAGTTTTGAGTAAAAAAAAAGCAGGATGAGACACTTTGCCAAAAAAAAAAGGCAGGATGACAATTTATGTAAAAAAAAGTCAGGATAAACTAAAAAAAAAAAGGCAGGACCGAATAGAGTGAAAAATAAAAAGGCAGGACAGAGATTACAGCTAAAAAAAAAATGCAGGACAAAATTTTTCATCCTAGCCCCCCCCCCCCCCCCCCCCATAAAAATCAAATGGTAGCTCCCTAATATTCGATACTATATAATATAATATCGTATTGTCCTTGGATAATGAAAGCAAATTCAAAGTTTCTGCTTTCTTGCCTACTACTGGTGTTTTAACTAAGCTTAGTGGCATGCAGTCTTTACGTCTATTTCATGTTCAAAGGTACATACATAAAATTGAGAATGGAAACGGGCAATGTATCAAAGAGGCAACAACCCGACCAAAGAGCAGAAAACAGCTCAAGGCCACCAATGGGTCTTCAACACAGCAAGAAAATTCCGCACCTGGAGGCGGGCTTCAGCTGTCCCCTTAACAATAATGTATACTAGTTCAGCGAAAATGGACGTCACACTAATCTTCGAAACATATAAATGAACCAAATTTAAAAAAAAAACATACAAGACTAACAAAGGCTAGACGTTCCTTCTTCTGTAAGTTTCTAGCGATCCTTCAATTATTGGAGATTATTCGGTTCCTGACTTGGGACTGGCACAAAAATGCGGCGGGGTTAAACATGATTTTTGAGATCTCAACTCTCCCCTATACCTAAACCATTTGCTAATGTGGAACAAACAAACACACAGCAATACGCATAGTATGTAAGAGGAATATATCTGTAACGTTGTCTTTTTATTGGATATTTATTTTTCTGTGTCATGCGTCAAAAACCTCTTAAGGTATACAAACAAACCAAAATTTACGGAAGCCGGTTAGTGTCATGGTGGTGTTTTATTTCTAAGTCGTTATAACGACTTAGCTAACTCGTTATAACAACTTAGCGTTTTATCAAGTAAGTTAAGTTGTTTAAACGAGTTAGCTATGTCGTTTAAATGAGATATCTAAGTCATTATAACAGGTTAGCTAAGTCGTTGTAACGACTTAGAAATAAAACTCCACCATGACACTAACCGGCTTCCGTAAAAAATAGTATCACTAATGATGTGAATTTTGTCTGACTAAATCACTTGTTGAAAATAAAATTAAGCACGTTATTAGGTCTTCTGGAAAAGTTTTGTAAGGTTTTGTTAATGTAGTGGAACATGTAAATTTTTAATCATGAAAACAACATTGGATAAATCACGTGATATGTGCCTTTAAATAAAGAATTTCTAATTTTCATAATCATCAAATGGAATAAACGCATAAAAAGCAGTTGGTAAAAAAAGACCAGTACCGGGTCTGGATCTACGTCGCTGCAAGCGACTAATTTCAAACTATCGGCAAATATGTGGTAACTGCACGGCAGATATAAATATTGCTTAAACGCTACAACTCCATACTTCCAAGTTTCCGATCAAATATAGTTTTCTTCCATAGAAGCCAAGAAAAATTAGACGAAAATTTCCGGATACAAATGTTAGTGTTGTAGACTATCGGTAAACAGGAAGTAGCTGCATGGCAGATCTTACTTATTGCTTGCAAGCTACAACCTAACATTATCATCCTGCCTACCTGATACAAATCATTCCCTTTCATAGAAAGTTCAGGAAAACGTTGATGAAAAATGTCTTAACCAAGTCATTTTCGGACATATGGGCGGAAGGACGGACGGAGTCGAGCGAATACTAGACTTGATTTGCCGTTGTAGACGCAGGTGAAAAAGGTATAACAAAATGATTTGAAGATTTTGCCTCACATGTTCTATCAGCAACAATTAACATTTAACATAAACATAGTTTACTTTATTTACGTTTTCTTGAGCATCCGGGATAAACAATATAGCCATTTCCGGTAATTACATTTCAAGACACCCGTTAATTAATGCGAGATCAAACAATTTCGGTGGTACTTCAATCAGGGAAGGCACATGTTGTGAATTAGCACTTTCATCCTTGTTCTTAAAAAAAAACGGAAATTAATGTCTCACTTGTGCAATTGAAATTGTGAATGAAAATTCGTAAATAGTACTTGCACTCGTCTAACACTCTTTTATAAGCATGTTACATAACTATGGAAATTTATTATTTATTCAGTTAAGAGGTTTTTAGGAGCCAAACCTCTCTGAAACAAGAAAAAGCCATCATGTTATGATATACAAAAACATTTCTTATTACGAGATGTACATAATCAATTCGTTTAAGTAGATTTATTAAGTGTTGTAAAACATATCATGAACACTCAGACATAATTTTTCGTACTTTTCTGGCGTATGCGCAGCTGAATTTACGGACTTGTTTACATTTATGGGCCGATATATGAATAACTGTAATAAAATAAAAAGTCACAAAAAAAATGAACTTTAAATATAATTTCACCATCTTTACAATGTGCCTTTTTGTAGTTTAATTTTTTACAACCGTTTTGAAAACATAGAAATCATTTACTAAACTATGTAATTTTATTTCTACAGTTCGTGTATTTTCCTTAATGTTCACAGATTTATTTTGACAGTTCATGTATTTTCCTAAATGTTCACAGGTTTATTTCGACAGTTCGTGTATTTTCCTAAATGTTCTCAGGTTTATTTCGACAGTTCTTGTATTTTCCTAAATGTTCACATGTTTATTTCGACAGTTCGTGTATTTTCCTAAATGTTCACAGGTTTATTTCGACAGTTCGTGTATTTTCCTAAATGTTCACAGTTTGTTTTATTTCGACAGTTCGTATATTTTCCTAAATGTTCACAGGTTTAGTTCGACAGTTCGTGTATTTTCCTAAATTTTAACAGGTTTATTTCGACAGTTCATCGTCGTGTACTTTCCTAAATGTTCACATGTTTATTTCGACAGTTCGTGTATTTTCCTAAATGTTCTCAGGTTTATTTCGACAGTTCGTGTATTTTCCCAAATGTTCACAGGTTTATTTCGACAGTTCGTGTATTTTCCCAAATGTTCACAGGTTTATTTCGACAGTTCGTGTATTTTTCTAAATGTTCACAGGTTTTTATATAATTGGCATCCTAAAATGTTATTCAAGGATTGGAAAAAATGTAAGAGAGGAATGATCCCATCCGTTACTAAAACTTCCCTTTGCCAAAAAAAAAGTCTTAATGCCAACAATTTAGGCAATATCCTTCCTTCATTTGGAGGAGGATGGAAAGCATTCTAAAAATATCTTAAGGAGGTACATGTGCGTAGTCAATGGAAGTCCTTTATCTATGGCGTTAATTTTGTTTAGCGGTTTCAACGATAATTATGTGACAGAAAATGATCTTGAACCGGAAGAGAGAAACGAAGTAAAGAATGCGGACATGACAAAAACGTATTAGTATCCAAAATTTAAACTTAGTTGCTCGTATCAGGATACAAGAGCGAGGACCCGAAAAGAGCATAATTCCGGTGTTCGAAATGTTCCAAAATAAGCTAAGGAAAGGTAAAGAATAACGTCATCCCCGTTTATGCGTTATGTTTGACGTCATATTTACTGATGAACTATCATCTGAATGGGTGTCGATTCCTGCTTGGTCTAAATCAAGTTGGGAGTCTGTCCTCATTGATTTGGATTTTTGAGGAAAATGCAAAATACATTATAAATTTTATATTTTTTCAGGTTGTGCCTTCCTAACTTATTGTAATAAAGACAGTGCCATAAACGCACAACACGAGTTACACGAACAGAAAACATTACCTGGGGTAAGTAATTCTACAAGTTGTAACAGAGACAAACGAGTGCTATAAACGCACAACACGAGTTACACGAACAGAAAACATTACCTGGGGGTAAGTAATTCTACAAGTTGTAACAGAGACAGTGTTATAAACGCACAACACGAGTTACACGAACAGAAAACATTACCTTGGGTAAGTAATTCTTCATAATGTATCACAGACAGTGATTTTAAAGCACAACACGAGTTATACGAACAGAAACATTGCCTGGGGTAAGTAATTCTTCATACTGTATCATAGACAGTGATTTTAAAGCACAACAACAGTCACACGAACAGAAAACATGACCTGGGGTAAGTAATTCTTCATACTGTATCATAGACAGTGATTTTAAAGCACAACAACAGTCACACGAACAGAAAACATGACCTGGGGTAAGTAATTCGTCATACTGTATCATAGACAGTGATTTTTAGGCACAACAACAGTCACACGAACAGAAAACATGACCTGGGGTAAGTAATTTTTCATACTGTATCATAGACAATGATTTTAAAGCACAACAACAGTCACACGAACAGAAAACATGACCTGGGGTAAGTTATTCTACATACTGTAACAGAAAACGTGCAACTAATGCTTGTTTTGAAATTATTATATCTGTAGGAAAGACGGGTGCATGAGAAATGTCTAACGCGCGGCCACAATGTTCTTGTCATCGAGGATTGTTTAATTGACAGAAATACGTTTCCAATGAATACTATTATTCCATGTATATATATTATGCAAGTGTACGTATACATATACATGTATAAGACTTTGATTGATTTTGGAACGTTCATATTACAAATACGAAATAAAAGATGAATTTTGGTCTGTTTTGTAGAGTTCTTAATATGTCAACTCAATTTTCATCAAACAGTTTCATACTTCGCATAGATTTTTTTCAACCCGAAATAAGTTAACAGGTGTATTGATATTCATTTGCATAATGTCGATTTCTATCCGACACAGATCAATTATGTAAATGTATTGATATTCATTTGCATAATGTCGATTTCTATCCGACACAGATCAATTATTTAAATGTATTGATATTCATTTGCATAATGTCGATTTCTATCCGACACAGATCAATTATGTAAATGTATTGATATTCATTTGCATAATGTCGATTTCTATCCGACACAGATCAATTATGTAAATGTATTGATATTCATTTGCATAATGTCGATTTCTATCCGACGCAGATCAATTATGTAAATGTATTGATATTCATTTGCATAATGTCGATTTCTATCCGACGCAGATCATTATTATGTAAATGACTGCACTTTGGATTTATTATAGAATATTGAATACTTGACCTACATAGTAAATGCTTAACCTAATTATGTAATCACACCATCAATACATGTTCACTGTAATTAAGACAGCTTCGTAAAATAAGTTAAATATCTACCAATAACAAAACCCATCAATAACTTTCTAATGTAGAATTTTGTCTGCTTTATCACATCTTTCTTTTGAAATTTTATGTGTCTGTATCAGAATGCACAAAAAACAGTTTTTTTCATACATTAAATGCTTCTTTAAAGTATGTATGTAAATATAAAAAAGAAGATGTGGTATGATTGCCAATGAGACAACTGTAAGTATGCCAAAATTTGAGAGTTTTTTCCTCCTTTGTAAATTGGATAGTAACACATGGAATAAAATTTGATTTAAGACAAACAAATTTTAACAATTGTGTAGGCAGAACAGCATATTATTATTTTTAATGCTTTCTTAACTTGAAAAATACCAGTTGACATGGGTAATATGAAATGGCGATCTCCGTTTTAAAATATTCTTATAAAAAGCAAATAAGATACTATGAAGGTAATTAATCTTCATTGGACTATGTAAAAATGAAATAAAGTATGGTGTTAATTACACGAGACAATATCGTAATAATATTAAATGATTGATTGATTGCTGTTGTTTGTTCCACATTGAATCATTGATTGATTGCTGTTGTTTGTTCCACATTGAATGATTGATTGATTGCTGTTGTTTGCTCCACTTTGAATCATTAATAGATTGCTTTTGTTTGTTCCACATTGAATCATTAATAGATTGCTGTTGTTTGTTCAACACTGATTGATTGATTGATTGCTGTTGTTTGTTCCACATTGATTCACTTATTGATTGCTGTTGTTTGTTCCACATGTAATCATTGCTTGATTGCTGTTGTTTGTTCCACATTGAATGATTGATTGATTGCTGTTGTTTGTTCAACATTGAATCATTGATTGATTGTTGTTGTTTGTTCCACATTGAATGATTGATTGATTGCTGTTGTTTGGTCCATATAGATGATTGATTGATTGCTGTTGTTTGTTCCACATTGAATCATTGAATGATTGCTGTTGTTTGCTCCACATTGAATCATTTATAGATTGTTTTTGTTTGTTCCACATTGAATCATTAATAGTTTGCTGTTGTTTGTTCAAAATTGATTGATTGATTGATTGCTGTTGTTTGTTCCACATTGAATCACTTATTGATTGCTGTTGTTTGTTCCACATTGAATCATTTATTGATTGCTGTTGTTTGTTCCACATTGAATCACTGATTGATTGCTGTTGTGTGTTCCACATTGAATCACTTATTGATTGCTGTTGTTTGTTCCACATTGAATCACTGATTGATTGCTGTTGTTTGTTCCACATTGAATCACTGATTGATTGCTGTTGTTTGTTCCACATTGAATCATTTATTGATTGATGTTGTTTGTTCCACATTGGATCATTGATTGATTGTTGTTGTTTGTTCCACATTGAATCATTGATTGATTGCTGTTGTTTGCTCCACATTGAATGATTGATTGATTGCTGTTGTTTGTTCCACATTGAATCACTGATTGATTGCTGTTGTTTGTTCCACTTTGAATGATTGATTGATTATTTTTTCATGGTTTTTGATTCGTGGTATGTTCTATCTTTTTTGTTTTTTATTAATTTTAGATAATAGAAAGTCGTTGCTTTTTATCAGCTTCAATCCTAATCAAGAATATAGAGTTCTCTATGGTAGACCTTATAATAATGATGATAATAAAGTCTTTATCTAAAGAGGGTAACCATATTAGAACTTGTGTAATTTTAATTCAGGCCCCCAAACAAACACATGGATGTAGTACATATATAACAGACATATATATGTAAAATCATTCTATTATATTGAAATAGCTATACCTTCGATCATTGATGAGTTGTTTAAAGGGTTTATTGGAGGTTCTTATTACATATTTGACTGTATTTGAAGAACCTTTCTTAATTTGTATTGGGTTTCAAAAAGGTTTTTTTTTCTACATGTGTGAGAACCTTCTATGATATTGGCAACTGGACGTTAAGCGATCTATAACAATGACGTCCATGAAACGTTTGAATTCACTTGCAACACTCTTGCTCCCATTATAAAGTTCCTCATTATGGAGTATTTGTATCGTGAATCCAAAAACGTGGGTGGGGTTTGAAAAAAAATAATCTGGCCTCTATTTTGACCAAAAAAAATAATCTGGCCTATTCAGTTGCTAAAACAATATTCTGGCTTCATGTCCTATTTCTTTGTCTTTACAAATGTTGAAAAAAAATATTCTTGCTTTGGATTGACTGAAAAAAAATATTCTTGCTCGGTTTGCATGATAAAAAAAATCTGGCTTGTTCTTATTACATATTTGACTGTATTTGAAGAACCTTTCTTAATTTGTATTGGGTTTCAAAAAGGTTTTTTTTCTACATGTGTGAGAACCTTCTATGATATTGGCAACTGGACGTTAAGCGATCTATAACAATGACGTCCATGAAACGTTTGAATTCACTTGCAACACTCTTGCTCCCATTATAAAGTTCCTCATTATGGAGTATTTGTATCGTGAATCCAAAAACGGGGGTGGGGTTTGAAAAAAAATAATCTGGCCTCTATTTTGACCAAAAAAAATAATCTGGCCTATTCAGTTGCTAAAACAATATTCTGGCTTCATGTCCTATTTCTTTGTCTTTACAAATGTTGAAAAAAAATATTCTTGCTTTGGATTGACTGAAAAAAAATATTCTTGCTCGGTTTGCATGATAAAAAAAATCTGGCTTGATATTAAAACCTAGCCCCTCCCCCCCCCCCCCCCCCCCCTTCCCCCAGAAAGTCAAATGGTCCATGCCTTAACATGTTTGGTTGATTATACTGTGGTTTGATTTTTTTCATTTACTTGCGTGCATTTCGGTTGTAAACTTTGTCTTCCTTAATGAAAATAGTAAAACTTCAGTTGAACAGGAGAATTAATATTTCTTGCTGTAAGAAAATATCAGTTTTGCCCAAAATTTAATTAATGTTCGTACTAACTTGACGTTTGGAGGATTGCTATATCATGTAACAGTTCACTATTCGTTTTGAATTGATAACTTGTTGCTGCAGTGCTTGTTGGTTTTGTTTAATTTGTAAGTTTACAGGAAACTGGTGGTAAAAACTGATTTCAGAAGAGTAAAGATATAATAAAGCTTTGATTAAAAAATCTTTTGTAATGTTGATATATATATACATGATATGAAACGACGATTTTGTTTTAAAAGACGTTGAAAATATTCCAACAGTATGGTATTCTGCTAAGTTCCTCGATTTAAGCATTGTCGTAGTGTAAGGTTCATAATCTCCTCCTGTTGAGATAACTTCAAGTTAACGTTCGAATAAACTGCTAATATGAAATGGCCTGTTATCTCACAAAATATATACTATAATTTGTGTACCCTTTTTGGAAAGGGGCGGTATATAGTGATAGGGATGCCCAACCGTTAGTACGTAAATTGATGTCAATCAATCCGTTTGTTCGTTCTTCCGTCTTAGTTTTGTATTCGATTCTGTTGCTGAACTGTATCATATACACAGGATGATAAACTGAAACATATGTGAACTACAGTGTGCAGATATGACAAAGTCCTTGGCATCCCAAAGTAAAACCCCAAAAATCAGTCAGACAATGGAGGCGCAAA